TTTTCCGGAGTTGTCCGTCCAAAGTCTTCATGACGTGACTCTGATGTAATGTTGATCTTTGCGGAGTATTTTTCGAAGGATGATTCTTGGTTTTTGGCTGCTTGAGAATTTGGTGACGACATTTGCTCGAGAGGGATGATTGTTAAGACTCTAGTGAAGTTCCAACATACATGGTAGTGGATTAAGGAGGAATAGTAACTTGAAATTTGAATATTCAATAGATCGGGAAGTTGAGATGATTTGTGAATATGAAAGATGAATGGTTTTGGTTTTGTTGCCGTTTTACCTGGCGATATGTACGGAAGGTTCGTAGATCGTATCTCGTACCGAGTAGGGGGGCTGTTTGTGTATGTACTCGGCAGGATACAGATCTCCGAGATATCCGAGGGGGTACGCATATATGATAGGTTTGGGTATATGCAGACGTGTGTGCAGCAGCAGGTCCTTCTTGCCTGCTGCTCATGCTTGTCACTCGTTAATAGTTAATCAAGGAACTTGAGTCACTCCTTTGTGCAACACGCTCTCGACAAGAGCCCGCGAGCGTGATAACATAGTACACGCGCCGACACCCCAAACACCCCTAAGTTCAATCTCAAACGGGATTTGAACCCCACCACTGCTCCACGAGCAAAAACAAGAAACACGCCACTTATATACCAGCCCACTTCCCAAAACGGGCAAAAATACTGGGCTCTTCCTTCCTACCAAGCTCTTCCCAAATCTTTGCTGCAGCAGCAGAGTCGCATTCCTGCCACTGCGTCCCAGTAATTATCTTCCTCTTGCATCCTTCTTGTACCGCGGGAACTTGATCCCCTCCGAGTTTTATTCGTCTACGGGCGCTACTCCAGTGTCCATGGTCACCGTTTCCTTTACTACGCCCTTCTGCATTGCGGGAACGAGACGTGGGTACGTCTTGCTGACGTAACACTGCTCATACTCAGAACGCTGGCACGCCGAGCAGAAGCACGACGCCAACCGAGTCCTGAGACTGTACGTCCGTTTCACCTTCCTGCAAGTCACGTCTTCCTCCCCCGACACCGGATCCTGCAACCCAGCCCCCTGGCCCTTCCATCTGCTCGCTACTGCACCCAACACCTTGACTTCCCCCAACCGGCTCTTCTCTAGATTCGACGAGCGACCCCCCCCCTCGCTCCTTAGCACCAGCTTACAGTAACCTTCGAGTCCCTCGGTCGTGGTGGACCCATCCCACTTGGGAGTGTTTGCTCCCGCGAAGTGGTACATCTCTCTGGTACCCTCTACGCCTTCCAGGATCGAGTTTGGCCGATAGATCTCCTTCTTACCGATAAACTCGAAGTGCACTCTCCGCATGCGGTACGGAGACCACTTGGCGAAATACCTCCGCATACCCTCCTCCCCTTCGCTGCCTGCCTTCTCCTCAAAGAAGCTTCGCAAAAAGCTGAATACCCCGTCCGCCCCCATGATTCGCTTGCCAAATCTCTCCCTCCTCTTCATGGCGTTCTTTGCCACTCCGCCGATCCCATCATGGCAACCTTTGAAGTGAGATGTGGCCGCGAAGTGGTGGTCGATGAAGAAGCCGATTTGCCGCACGCTGTCGGCCAAAAAGCGGAAATTCCGCCTTCCCTTGTACTGCTTCCCGCACCCATCCGTGAACATGTGAAGCCGGGGCGTCCGGCCTTCCTTCCGGGCGGCAGCTGTTGCTTCGCTCCCATCTCCGCGCAGGTAGTAGTCCGCCATCTTGGCCAAGCCGTGCAGGTGGAAATCGCAGCCATGCCCCATGTCCTCAGATGCAAAGATCCATGTTTCCGTCACGTGCACCCTGCCACCCCCCATGTGTGTCTGCGGGTTGAAGTGGACGATGGCCACCATGAGCGTTGTCTGCGGGTAAACAGGCATCATCATGCTGATGAAGGATTGGTGGGTGTACTCGGCAAAGTCGGTCTCGATGACAAGATCACCGTCCTGAAACGTGTCCAAGCAACGCCCGTGGCAGTGCCTTTGCCACTTGGCGATAGAGTGGCGATCCATGTACAGTGCTCTTTAAAATCCGACCAAAGATCGCAAAGCTTACCCTCCTTCGGCACGGTCTGGTTGGCGGGCTTCTTGGCCTTGATCTTCCCATCTGCTGATGCAGGCGCAGTGATCACGTCCTCGAACATCTTCCACACCACCTTCTGCTCGGAGTTCTCCAGCTTGCTACAGATGGGAATGCCGCCAGCCCCTCCGAACCCACACTTAGCGCAGTCCAAAGCGTTGCACTCCGGTTTCCGCCCCATCCAACCGCCACCCTCCCGGTCCGCTGCCCGGAAGTTGATCTTGGGGCAGGCAATCGCATCGGAGAAAGTGCCCAAGTGCTTCCATGTTTCGCGCCACCTGCTGCCGCCATCAACGTTGCACCATCGACACCGGCATTCCCCGTGGCTGCTCATGTCGACACTGGCCAGGGCCTCGATGTACAGTACCTGCTGCGAGTGGATCTTGCACGCGCACTGCTCCATTGCAGGGAGGACCAGGCACTTGCACCGCGTCGAGAGGAAGAGCGTGCGGCCAGGGTCAGCGAAGTCGTCGCTCTGTCGCTCCTTGAAGCTCTTGTAGGATGCCCAGTTGAGAAACTTGGCGTACACCGCGTCGCCCCCGCCCGCTTCGGTGAGCTGCCGCCGAGGGTGGCGGTGAGCTGTTGGAGACTTGCTCGCCTTCCACATGTCGCGCTCAGCTGAGTTGCCATGCTGGCGTGACACCTCGTCCGTGTGCCAGTACTGCCTCATCAACTCCAGCAGCTCTTCGCTGGCGGCATCGCTCCTCTTAGCTCGGGGCCAAAACCAGTAGACACCGCGCTTTATCGCCTCGGTTGGATTGAGATCGGACAGCAATTTCTTGGCACGCTCCACCGCGAAGGTGAAGGCGCGCTTTTGAACCCCCAATACCGCTGCCCTACGTCTTGCCGATATCGATGGAGCCCCGTCTACGTCCACGCGAAAGGCCGCGGCGGTGAGGATCGTTTGCAACGTGTGGCGTCCCTCTGTGGTTCTAGGTTGCTTTGGCGCCTGCTCGATGGCTCGCTCCAACGAGACTGCTGTGCTGGCCTTGGCTTCCAGCTCCCGCAAGCGAACAAGGGTGTCCTTCGCAAACGTCGAGCCGATTTTTTTCAAGTGACGCAGCGCGTTTTCATGCCCCATGCTGTCCATGGACGCGAGAAACGTTTCCGTAGCATGCTGGCGCCAGTTGACCGGCTCCGTCTGTGTGCACACATGACGAACGAGAACGAGGAGGGGAGTACGAAGTAGCGCAACACAGTTAGACATAAGAACAAGACACGACTAATAAAGACCATCACACACACGGACGGGCTCTCGGTGTACAACTACGCGACAGACTATTCATGCAATCCGATCCTCTCGGTGGAATTATAACCCGGCGTATATCATTTCGTGTCTCGGCACAATTACTACGTCACACATCAACGATGCTGAAGGTGTGTTCTTGGAGATGAAGTGTTGCCTTCCTCGTGTCTCACCTCTTGCTCAACTGGCTCGCTAGTTTGCACCCTAGACCGGGTTCTCCCGCCACCACGCAAAGCCGTGATAACAGGGTCGGCGACGGCGCTATCTGCTGTCCTCCTAACGCCGCTGCTGCGGCTGCTGCCACCAGACCGCTGCTGCGCCTTTTGCCACTGCTCGCGCTTGTTCTTGAGGACCTTGTCAGTCAGCTCCGCGGCCTGTTTGCTGACCGCTTCTTCGGGGTTCTCCTTCACGTAGCTACTGTGGATTTGTGAGGGCCTCTTCTTGTGCTCGGGTCAACGAGTGTCGCGGTCACCAGCACCCCGCGTTCGGAGACATACTTCCAACTGAGCTTGATGACGTGGTTGTCTTTGCCAAGGAGGACTATGCGTTCACATCCCCCTGACTTGGTCACAGCCGCCGCTGGTTCAGCTGCCGCTGGCCCAGCTTCGGCAGAGCTCATGATGGAGCCTCTGCCCACCTGAGTGTTGGTGTGAGCAACTTTCTGAGTGGCTCTAGACCCCCCCTAAATCGGCCAAGAGGACGTGTTCCCGAACCAATGTTTTTTCGTTCAACTTTTTAGACGTCGGTTTTGAGCGTTTCAAAGCTAGAAAAAAACGATTTTTGATTTTCTTTTTTTTCAGCTAGGGAGAGCCAATGGCTACTGACTGCGGATGGTGCCTATTTTGAATTAAGCCGTCGTTTCAAAGATCGCTCCTGACAGTCTCGCCAGAACCCACAACAAGGAACAAGGAAAAAAATTACAGATTTAATAAGAGCCGAGGGAGGCTTGGTTTGTGGGGAAATTTTCACGATTTTTCGATTTAGCAACTTTCTTCGAAGCAACACATCACACGCACCATCGCACGCACACACAGAGGTCCAGCCGGTTAGCGCGGTCGATGCTAATTATAAAAAAAACACACAGGAGTCTGCTGAGAATATGTCAGCGCGGCCAAAGAGAAGGCCAGCGCCCAGCGAAAGGCCTTGGAGTTGGCGCGCCACCAACACAAAAACAGGGAGGCTGCACGGTCAGAAAGTTGGGTTTGTTTCCGGCTGGCTAGGTCAGGAACACGCCCGTCAGATTGAGGCAAAGGGGGAGAAAGAGCGCAAGAACCTAGAGGTGGTGGCAACGCCGCCAGCAAAGAAGAAGAGCAGAGAGGAGGAAGAGCACGTAGTGGCCTCCTGGTGAAGGCGGGCGCGTCCTTCCGCGCGCAAGAGTTTTTCTCTGGTGTCTACTAGAAAGAAGAGCGTTTGGATCGGATGTGCCTCCTGGTCCTAAACCCCCCGGCTCTCTCCAGAACGCTTGAAACGCGACATAGTCTAGAACTTCGTTCAGAGGCTGTCGTCGGCCAGTGTACAGTAATCACTTCCTGTCTCCGTACCGGTGTGCTGGGGTTGAGGGAGCGACGCAGACACGGACACGCGCACGCACGCACGCACGCACGCACGCACACTCAACAGCAGCAACAGTGAGAGCCCCTTGTCATCAAGCAAGGTGCACAGCTAGCTGTCACGCAGCGCACCACGAAAACAACAGCACCTGCGGACAGGGGAGGTTCGTGAGAGGACTGTTGACCAACAGCCAATCGCATGAAGCCGCTCAAATCTGAAAAAATTCACCTGCACGAAGTTTCCAGGAAACTTTCTTATCTCAAAATCTGCTTTCAACCGAAAACTTTGGAGCCCTAGTCCGAAACTGTATGTTACCGCTTTTTTTTTGCTTCTGGGGGGGTTTTTTGCCTCTATTTTTTTATTGTGGTAACCATGAATGGNCGGTGTGCTGGGGTTGAGGGAGCGACGCAGACACGGACACGCGCACGCACGCACGCACGCACGCACGCACACTCAACAGCAGCAACAGTGAGAGCCCCTTGTCATCAAGCAAGGTGCACAGCTAGCTGTCACGCAGCGCACCACGAAAACAACAGCACCTGCGGACAGGGGAGGTTCGTGAGAGGACTGTTGACCAACAGCCAATCGCATGAAGCCGCTCAAATCTGAAAAAATTCACCTGCACGAAGTTTCCAGGAAACTTTCTTATCTCAAAATCTGCTTTCAACCGAAAACTTTGGAGCCCTAGTCCGAAACTGTATGTTACCGCTTTTTTTTTGCTTCTGGGGGGGTTTTTTGCCTCTATTTTTTTATTGTGGTAACCATGAATGGTGGTCGAGTAGATTATGTTGTACGGGGTCGAGAACCCTCAGGGGATGATCGCACCACGCTGTGTTGAAATGGTCAAGCATCCTGCAGGCAGTTCCACAGCTTATTCTACAACTGTTTCTGGAAGTTTAAGGGCCAGAAAATATGTTGGTACGCACCTGTCATCCGTATGCAAGGAAGTAAGCACAAGATGCCGAACTCCCGAAGCAGGATGCAGCGCACCCTTCATGCGACTCGCCGATTACCGCACGGTGCTTCGCGCTCGGTGATGTGAGAGTCTGGTCCGGTGAGAACCCGGCGTGCTCCGTCCCGGCTTTGTAGGGATGCGAGGTCAATGGTCTTACGACTACATGGTCATGGGTTCGAGTCCCGGCAGAGAGAGTTTTTTTCTCACTAAATAAATCCTGGTCTAGGATGAAAGCGACGCGCTGCAAAGCTCGTTTGTTAGTAAACCATAATCGACTTCGTAAGTCGCGAGGGAAGGGATTGCTGTACCCTTCTCGCGATAAAAATACCTCAGGCATGAACCGCAGGAGGGGGTCCAACCCCCCCCTCCTATGTGACCCCGGTTGGGTCGTCTAGCTAGTAGAAGTGGAGGATAGGGGCCAGAGGGGCAGAGGACAGAGTCCAATGATGGGAGGAAAAAAAAAAAAATGCACGACAATGAGTACACCCCCCACGCGCGTGGGTTCTCATCGGGAGAGTCCAAACTCGCAATCAACCGGCATACTACAGTATAGAGTATCAACATTCAACTATGTCGGCCGTCCCCTTGTGTACCAAATCTGTAGGTATGCCAATGAGAGGCCTCGACGACACCGCACCTAGCCAGAAAAGAATAACCGCTGTACCGCACTCACTCATGGGACATCGCAGCGACGAGCTGCACTGATGCGTGGCTTCGTCTACAGTAGTATGAACATGTGGCTGGGAGGTCCGTAGCGTGTTCGGCGGATGTCAGCAACGGCGTCTAACTCTTCATTAAGGACGAAAAAAAATTACCGTAAGATTCGCACATAATTCCTGAGCAGGGTAGACAAACATATCCACTCCCTCGAGCCATGCAGTCCCACAATCAACTTCATGTTAGGACATTGTACAATTCACAAGAATTCTTGAGCAGGGGCGACAACTACATCCACCCACCCTCCCCTAATTCCCGTCACACCATCTCCGCTAAGACTAATAGGCGTGGTGGCGGTCAACGTGTCTCTTGCCACGCGGAAAAGTTGTCGTCCATGATGAGCTTTTCGAAGCGGACGCAGGGGCCGAGCGCGAGGGTTGGCCGGAAAGCGGGCGGGGGCACGGAGTAGGGGAACATAACGCAATGTGTGGTTGTGGGGGGGGGTACTCGTGTTTTGCAGGCCTTGGATGTTGGATCATTGACCACGCGTCCTCGACAGGGCAGAGCATTCTTACTGCAGGACCGATCACGGATGGGCAATCGTTCCTTCCAACAATTATTTGCCAAAGCAAACCCAATGCATCTGTTCGTCAGGCATACACATACGCATCGCGGTCTGTTGTTTGAAAGCAACATATCTGGGGGGAACTTTTACCTGGAGCTCTAAACTTTTTCAAGCGTTGCGTGAAGTCTGTGAGAATGCCGCCTGAAAATATTATCAACTTTTGCAGAACAACATTGCGGCTTACAGGTAGGTTCTACAACACAAGAGGGCGGGGCTGAATCCGCTTGACCGCAGTGGGGAAAAAACGTCTGTAACCACTGCATGGAAATACAAGTTCGGTGGTGGCGGTCCCGATATACCGTACCGCGGTGTCGTGACAAGCAAAAAATACAACCGTCATATATATCAGGATACCGCACCGTTGTTTGTTTGGAATATGTAGCTGTTTGTACGGTAACCAAATCCCGTGACAAGGGATTGTTACCGCGGTGTATCGAGACCAGAACTGGTCGGGACTACGGTACGGTATATCGAGACCACGGTACGGTATATCGAGACCACGGTACGGTATATCGGGACCACCACTGCTGTTACATGTGAATACAACTACACCGGCGGGGGTTCCGTCGAGGGGGGTGGGGCACTCACCCTGGCGCACCCCAGTATGCCCACGATGGGAAGGACGATCCACACCATTGAGGGAGAAACAACGGCTGCTATCGCCTCTGCCTTGCTCAGCAGCCTATGGCTGCCAACGGTAGGCGGCGGTCGGCAAGGGGAGAGAGGGCGGCGACGGGGGATGGGTGGCGTTGTGTGCGTGTATTTGCCATTAGTATCGAGAACGCGCAAACGGAATGATCAACGGAATCGCCGTCGCGAGGAATATTGTGTTAGTCTCTATGACATAGGGAAGGGGGGGTTCGTATCCCGATCAATAACACAGAACCCCACGGCGTGCCAAATATAAAAGCCTAGCTTCATATCCTCGCCAAGGCTACTGAGGCTGCGGTGTACGTACGCGCGACAAACAAACGACGACAAAAGCCACATAGTAAACGAAAGTGGCCACGACTAGCACCACTGCCAAGAACCATAGCAGTACGAGGTGAATCAAACACCGATTATCCTGGCCGTCAAGAAAATCCGAAGGAAATGTACACTTACTACTCGCCCGCCCCCAAAACCATTGCTGGACGCAGCGCACCCTCGATGCGACTCGCCGAATGCCTCACGGCGCTTCACGCTTGGTGATGTGAGAACTCTGGTCCGGTGAGAACCCGGCGTGCTCCGTCCCGGCATTGTAGGGATGCGAGGTCAACGGTCTAACGACTACAGCATGCACGGCTATATGACTACTGCCCCCCCCCCCCCCCCCCCCCCCCCC